ATAATGAATTAAAAACTTGGAAGTTCAGGGAAGGGGGAATAAATTTACCTCCAGGAATTTTCTGAAAAATAGGCACAAATATAACACTTGCTAGCAATAACCACAGCATGTCAAAGAGGGAAGCTTCCTCCTCACTAATCTGAAAAGCATAAATAGCTCTGTTAGGAAGAAAATATATGGAAACAAATACATGTCATATTATATGCATAAGAATAACATGCTTTGATTCAAACTAGACAACTGAAAATTGACTTGAACTCGTGCCTCTTGATGAGGAATCATCTCTGTTAGTTTTCTGACTTTCTGGGGAAATTCCCTTATTTGTCGCACCAGAGGCTTGGCACTAGTTGATACTTCATCAATACTTGTGGAGATGATGTCAAGCTGCTGAAATTGCTGAGCAAATCTTTCACGCCGATTGATATAAAAAGCAATTCTGTGATGAATTTCAGCAGCATATCAAAGATCAGCAATTTTTCAATCAGACTAAAAATTAATAGCACATTTTATGACATCGAAGTGAACCACTAAAAACATAACAGATGCATGACTATAACGTACTTTTGACAATAGTCTTAGAAAAATTTCAATAAAATAGTAAGCATACCCTGCTCCAATAAGTAGTGACCCAAACACCAATTTTGGCAATTGCTGCCTAGCAGACTCCACAAGACCACAGAAAACTGAAGATGGCGCGAATTCATCCTCATCTGCATTAAAAGAGAAGAATGATGCAGAAAAGAATCGCGATGATTTCTTCAGTAATGCTTTTGGCGCACTGAGAGGTGAACTCTCCCGTGTGGGTTCCTTTTGAATTTCCTGTTTTTTACTTTGAGCAGTTTTCAACTTTTCTCCATCTGCTTCGATTTTTGGCAATGGGTCTAAAGTAAATTTTCCGTTCTCTTGGTCACTCTCATCTGACAGGCTCGACTCCTCGAATTGATTGTTTGGTAAAAGTTCAAGAAACTGGGCAACCTCTCCTGGCATCTCCCAATCTTTATCAACAAAGAGATCTGCTGAATTTGCTTCATTTACCTCCTCAACAGCAGAAGCCTCAACAGTAGTTTCTGCCACGTCAACATTGGAAATAGCAAGATTTTTCTCCACTCTTTGCAATGCCAGCTCAGCATCATTGACGCGTTGTGCAGCCTCAAGTTCATAAGCAACAGCTTGCTCTGCTAAAAGCATTATGTTTGCTACATCTTCTTCTGCCTTCAAAGCATTCATTTCTGCCTGCTGTGCAGCCCCATTCAACCTGTCCACTTCCTTTTGCAATTCTTCTTTCCTGTATTTCACCCTTCTTAGTTCAGTCTCACAAATTTCTAACTGATTTCGACAATCACTTATGTCCTCCTGAGCCGTTAAGAGTGCTTTCTCCTCTTCGCTCAATAAACTTGATTCTTCCCCTCTATTTTCATATTTTAAAGTGCTTTCTTTGGAAGCTCTTGGAGAACCATTCTTTTCTTTTGCAATTTCGAATGAATCAACTGCAACTTGGAGTCTTGACTCAGCCAAAGAAAGGGACATTGTTGCTTTCTGAACACCTTCTTTAGCTACAGCCTCTTCTTTTACAATCTCTTGAACATTGCTAAGGGCAGTATTAGCAACATTCCTAGCATTTGCTGCATCATCCTTCAATGCTATGGCAGCTTCTGAAATCTTCTGGGCTTTTTCCTCAAACAATTTACTGTTAAGCTGTGCAACTTCCAAATCCTTCAATGCCTTCTGCAACAATTCCCTCAATTCATCCAAACTAGGAGGCTCAACTTCTTCTATTTTATCTTCCTCGAATGCTTCTTTTGAACCACTGGACTCGAGGCTAACCTCATTATTACCACTTTCAAATATTTCTACATCTCTACCATTGCCATTTATATAAGATAATGAGTCATTTCCCTGACAACGCAACAGACCTGAATGCTTTGACAATTTAAAAGTATTGCCATGGTTATACATTAAAGAATCATCATAACCATAACACCATAACTGATTGATAAGTATTCTCGGACTGATGGTACTACCACAATATGCATTATATTTTTTCAACTTCTTTGAGGAATGTGCTTTTGACACTGGCCTTGGATTACCAATAACTTTCCAGTGCAAACCGTTACATTTCAAGCCCGTAGTTAAATTCAATTGTTTCAGTTCCCTGCAACTTGCCCCTTTGCCACTAGGAATTACATTGGGCTGGTATATACTATATGCAAAGTCCATTAATTCCCGCCTTCTATGATTCAGAATGCATACCCATCAAACACATTCCAAAACATATTTAATATTCCCAAGCTCACTAGTTTCAGATCAACCTAAAAGAAAAAAAAATAAATAAATAAAGGAAAACAAATGTAAAACTCCCTTAGACTATCATTCATCAATTAATCAATTACATCTATGGTATTTATAGATGTTAATGTGATGCCATTGGATAAAATCCACCATATTTTTCCACATTCACATATATGAATATACGTCCATACTTCACAATCAAAATATACATACACACACTCATACAACAGTGTAGAAAGATATCCAAATTTCTATAATTTTAACCATGGCAGTGCATGAGTGTATCTATAATAAACTACCTACTTACACAGATATAACTATATAGACACAATCAACATGGTCAACGACCGATTTACAGCTCCGACTACTTGTTTAAACTCTATTGACTTCATATTAAATATTTTGCAATTAATCAAACTTTCCTACTTTTAACTCCTAAGTAAAGAAAATCAACGCCATCACTTATTAAAATGCACATATGAACATATTATATATACACGATATATTCGATTATATGCCGAAATGATTGAAAATCAGAAAACAGAGAGTACAGCTTACCGATTAAGCCGTGAAATTTAATAGACCTTGGAAAATTGGAGGCGGAAATTCTAAGGTACAAAAATTAAGAGAGAGAAAGTGACGTAACCGGTAACGGAGTGAATGGAGATTCGAGCTTTAGCTTGTCCGTACAAATGGCAGGTTTATCGCCGTCCCTTCACAGTTCTCCTTTCGTTTTGAAATAAGGGCGTGTTTGGCAGTGGTTATAAAAGAAGGCTATTTGGCATGGATAACTTGTTAAAGAAATGAAATGCGTGGAGCCCGTGAACCGTTAGTTATAATTTGTTTTCACTTTTTAGTGTAATTTACAGTACCATTCCGTTTGGACTAAAATTTTATTTTAATTAAGTCAAAGTGAAACATTAAGGAATAAACTCTTTGTACATACCTATTTGCACAGACTCTGTACAGGGCCTCTTACATGGGGGTGGACCCCAGATGTGGACCCCATGTGTGAGGTCCACCCCCATGTGAGAGCATCTGTACAGACTCTGTGCAAATGAGTCTGTACGAATAGCATTTCTCAAACATTAATATCAATCATGTCTTTCATGAATTCCACGACTTTTCAACCGCACATTTTAAAAATTTCTATCACAATCTACTAAAAAATCTAATTTTAATCTCCATCAAACACTTTCTTAATTTTGACCCTACGATTTTGTCATTAACCCAAAAAAAGCAACAAGAATGATATTAAAACAAAGGCCCCTGAACAATCACATATTATCACTTTGATACCCAATACTATGGTTCATCTATCAATTGACCCCCAAGGTAGAGCTCTAGTGGGCTTTAGCTGGGCCGACACTTCAATATTGTAAGTCTAAGTCCAGATTGGCCCAACGTACTAGATTTTGCATTTGTCTAGTTCCCTGTTGACATTGAATATTCCATTTGAATAAGCGAATATTATTACAATTTGGGGGAAAAAATGATTGAGAGCTGCTTTTTTATTCCTTCAAGCTTGATATTTGGGATGGAAAAAGTAGATATTTTATTTTTTGACATTTATCTTGGAGTTTATTTTCCTTTTCCCCCTATACTTTTGTGAAACTATAAATGCTAAAAATGTAAACATGTGTGATGTGTTTGGTTCGTTACATTTACTTGCACAAAGAAAAAAAGTTAAAATTCTATTGATTAAACTGGAAACCCATTATTGTTTACCAAATGCGCCACGAAGAACAATGCTTCAATGCCCGAGAGTTTGCTTGATTATACTTCATCAAATGTATCAAACTTGATAAAGCGGCCTACAACTTTGCATATATAGCTATTGTTTTACTACATGTACTTCGGATTCTTGTCCCTTTTTTTATTTACTTATTCGTAGAGATGATTTACATGGAGCTACTTTTCATTCCATTTCTAGAAATCTGATGATCCATATATCTGACGATCAACCCATTTTACGGAATTGACAACGCCCACCCAATTCTATTTATTTGCTACAACACGTGATATTTTAGCCATTTGCATCAAGTTCATACTTCATTCTTGCATGCTTGTGCGTCTTGGCATAGAACACAATAACAACAAATTACTGTACAAGGTATCCTTGTGAATTAAATAGTAAATGCACTATTGGAGGAATTTTGTAAATAGTGATGCCAAAATAAGTATAATGATGGTTTGTAAATCTGTGCCGAAAATTGGACAGAGTAACGGCAAAGAAAACACAAACAAGAAGAAGAAGAAAGTAGGGATAAAGTCGAGGCAAGAGTTGGACTCTTTGTCCTTAAGTCAAATTTGCCCCGCAACGGTGCCTACGGATTTTCGGCAATCGACTCTCAAGATACAACGGCTACACTTGTGTTTGTAGCACTCCAAATCACAAGTACAACGAACCAAATTTAGGCTTATGTATTTCAAGGATGAAATGAAGGAAAATCAAAATAAACGAAATGACTTTGATTTTGGATAGAAGAGAGGATGAGAGATGTTTTGCATATCAAATTGTGAGAAATAGGACACCAAAAAGGTCCTATTTATAGACCATGAAAGGGTGTGGACGAAATGGTTGAGGCCAAATCATGCACCCTTTCCAAACAATGCACCTTTATGAAAAGGTGTCTATTCACTGGACAACCGTGCGGTCGCACGGTTTTACTCAAAAAACCGGAATTGAGTTTGACGTGTGATCGCGCGGTTTACCAACCATGCGGTCGCACGATCAAATATTTAGGTCGATCCCCGTTTGTGCGCCCCGAAGCGGCGAAGTGGCAAACAATTTTGCCTAAACAGATTGAGTCGAGCTTTTGAGTATTTGGCCGAAGTCGATACGAAGTCACTTTAATCGATTTTCAATTCTCGATTTATTTAACCAATATCCAACATGCACAACCTCTTGAACATGCTTACAGTTTCCAAACAAAATGTGAACATGCATCAAAAGAAAATAGTTTTTACCTTGTAAACTGTAGTGAATTAAGAACTACTCCAAAAAGAAGAAAAGAAGAAACTCAGAAACATAGCAAGAAACCCGAATTCAGACAAACTGTAAATAATAGTTAAGATCGTTCTTGTGTCTTGTCAGGATCTGGTTCAGGTTCATGTCCTGCTGCCTCTTCCTCTGGCTTCTCGGCCTCGACCTCGACCACGACGTCCAACTCCTTGGATGTAGTACTCCTTTTATGAGCAGCCTTGATATGCTGGAAATTTCCTTTCTCCAGGAAAAGCTGCTGAAAATGGTGCTTGCAGTACAGAATTCCATCAAGAGCAGCATAAGATGAGTGTGTAAGGGGGCAACCACCATGTGCACACTTGAAGCAAGATTTGTGGTATGATTCTCCCCCCATTGTCATCTGTTACCCGAGACGACTAGAATTTCAGGAAATTAACTTAGTATTAGGCTATTTTAGAATAGAGTTTATTTTTCTGAACACAAACCTTCTCCAATGGGTAAACGGTTTTGTTACAGGCAGAGCATTTATCTTGAGTTCCAGAGAACATGGCAGAAACCTTGCTTGGGGCCCTTGTCTGCACAAATCATATGATGATTTTGATCAGATAATGTCAATTCATAATTTCAAAAGAAAGAATGGTGCATACCAATGAATTCTCCTTCTCTTGCTTTGCTGCTTAAAAGTTCACCAGAAGCCAAAATGATCATATCAGATGGAATGCATAACGACAAATAATTTGCGACAACAACCAATTCAGGAAAGAGGGCTGCTTACGGGTTTGGAAATTCTTGCTAAAATTCCCTGATTCCTTGAAAAGTTGTTCGAAATGAGGCTTGCAGTAGAGGACTCCATCCATGGATGAGTAATTGCTCATCTGCCAAATGCAGAAGGAAGTTGTATAAATACATCACAGTTTTTCCAATTTCCTTGCACAATTAGTCTATTTGAGTCGAAAATATGCAGAGGCCTAGTTTTAAATTATATGAGACAGTTACTAGTTTAAATTTGTCTCAAATGCATAACAAAAACATTATTTCCATTGAAAAAGTACAGGATAAAGAAACAGAAAAGTCGAGCACACAAATGCTAAAATACGCGTGCACGTTGGCACATACAACACACGAACATAAAACATCTGAAAAAGGTATATATACCACAAGGGTCCCTTTGCAATGGCTGCATTTGAAGCAGGATTTGTGAAAAGTTGCTCCATCTGCTGATAACAAGTCAACAAAATAAACAGTCTTATCACAATCCTTGCATTTATCCAAAGTTCCTGTGAATGCTACCATTATTTTCTTTTTCTATCCTTTTCAAGATGAAAATCTCAAGAATTTCTGAAGATTTTTTGTTTCTTTTTGGTTATATCAGCCAATAATAGAAATTTAATTTTTCTGCACTGGTGGAAAAGTTGAATTCTACTATTGGCAGATCCCATTATTATGAAGCTGTGAAGGATTATTAAATGCTGTGAAATTTGGATGTTTTCCGCTTAAAGTGGAGAGAAAATAGGCTAAGAATTTTACTCATTCCATGAAAAATGTGTTGAAGAGAAGGTTGAGGGAAAGTATTTTCTTTGCTATATTTGGAAGTTATATTTGTAAGTTTACAAATTTTTTCACCTGCTCTTTCCTCCCTGAAGAGGTAAAAACCACAAAGGCCAAGTTTGCTAATCAACTAATTATTTGAATGGATAAATTAATGGATAAATTGCGTTCCCGGTTCCATTTTTTGGTTCAATCCAACTTTCGTCCAATTTTTTTCTTAACATTTACCTCAAACCCTTTCATTTTGGTAGTAATTTCGGCATTCTTCACAATTTAGGCCTTGTTTGACCCACATTATTTGAAAAAAATATATTTTTCAATAATGATTTGACATCATTTCAACCACATTCTTTAATAAAATAATATTACACGTAAATCCAAAATATTTCCTTAATTTTTAACTACCCATTTATCATTAATATACTATTCAAAAATGCATTTTCATTCCAATAATGTGGCTCAAACAAGGGTTTATATTTAGAATTGCTAAAATTTGACAAAATAGTCTAATCTTACCTTCCGTCATCGTTTTATCTTGTTTCAAAATGTAACACTTTAACCAAGATCAAAGTGTTTACCCAAAAAATTATAAACCATATATTTAATTTACTCGTGTTTTCTAGGTTGAATCTTCTTGTGGCAAGTGAAAGAAAAGATTACAACACTGAAGTGCACTATTAGGCCTGAGATACTCGTTAAATATGTTACATATATTTTATTCACTCTTTTTGTGAGAAAGGGAATATGGAAGGTATAATTGAAGACTCGTGCTCTTTTTTGCATTGAGTTAGGATAAAGTTGTACTTTAATCTTGGGAAAATGTAAATAAAGACCCAATTTTAATAAAAAAAAATTTATATATACAAATGATAGTATGATATAAAAGAATGTTCTTTTACTATACTTTTCCCTCATTAAGATTGCCAGCTTTAGACCGTCAATCATAAAATACATATCTTGTAAATACGACATAGGCCATCAAACGCTTCGAAAATCACCTCATTTCACAAATATCAGTCAACATCTCACGAGAAAATGATATTTAAGAACATTAAAGATTCAATACTATATTTTCATATTGTTTAATACTGCATATTAAACATGATTATACATGTACACAAAGACGTGTACTCAAG